TGTCCATAGAAAGACCAGCAGCAAATCTCGTCTCCTATCACATCCTTAATAAAGAGGACTCTCCCGTTAAACCGCAGCGACAGCTTATCAAACAGCTCGATGTTCTTCAGCATGTTGTCGTCAGAATTACTGCAAGAGAACAGGGCATCAGTCAAACAGAGTTAATGCCATGCAGAGGAAATGTCAAGAACTATGGAGAGTCAGGCAGCTGGAGGTCTACATGTCCTGCCTCCCTTTATTTACTGTACTAGCCTTCAAGGCTGTTTAGACTTGAGCTCCAGGGCTGCTTCATCCCACTACGAATCACTCACTGCATTAGGGGAGAGAGCCTGCAGCTGAAGTGTGACTGGCCTTCAGCGGAGAAGGTGCAGTCAGTGCTGGGAGTAACCGCTTCAGGATCCATCCCTCAACTAACCTAGTCCATCTACTAAAGTTTAGCATTAGCTGGATTGGGCCAGTGCTGTCATGAGTTATATACTGTCACATATGAGCCCAGGAGCCCAGCCACCACACCTGCCCAACTGAGAGCCACGTAGGCACAGCCCTCGGGCTCCTGGCCAACTGCCAACTCTGTAGGTAAGAACGCTGCAGGCCATGCAGAAGACAGGGCATCATCTTGCCATGGAGCCCCTGCAGGTCACAGCCGGGTATTAAAGAGAGAGCTCTTTATTGCTGCAAGTGTGCACTTAGCAATGGAAACGTCTCCCATGGAAAGCTAACCCCCAGGGACTCCACAAACTGCAGGAAAAGTGCTTACGGCGTATGTCAACAACACCCCCTCAGTAAAGGGAAAAGCCCATTCTCCTGGAATCTGGTTTGACTGTTAATTTCCAGTTGAAACTGTACATTTAATAACTGATAACGGAAGTTGTTTTACCTGGTGTAGGAATATTTGTTATTACTTCTGTTATACAGCAACTTTACTGCTGGCTGGAAGAAAACAAACATACAGGAAGCACAATTTACTGGCTATAGTACAGCTGCAACCTTAGTTCCAGGCACGCCCCGGTAGCAGAGAAGGGGTCATATGAAGTGATAGTACTGTGCGTACACCCCCCGTTTGTGGAAATGACGCTGAGACTGCTACCTGGTGCTAGCGTGGCAGCCCTGTGTCCCCAGGACAGGTACAGCACAAGCTTCCCTCACAGCGTGCCTTAACCCTGACGTCCCTGGGCTGTGGTGACCAGATCATAGTTGGCTCTCCATGGCCATTCCAGTCCTTTATGCCTCTGATGAGACCCCCAGTTAATGCCTGCTGTGGTGGCATTTTGTGGGGGGGAGGGATAGCAGGCAGGAGAGTGCATACCTGTCTAATAGGAACAGGAGCCACTAACATTTCATGGCAGGCAAATATCAGTCACTATTGGGCTGGTAAGACAGGTGAAAGGCTCTATAGCCCCCTATTGATGCCTTAAGTCAACCTGTCCTCCCTACCGACTTTATCTGAATACAGATAAGGCAGAGAAGGCCCCCACTGTAAGATGCATTTTTTTTTTTAAATGTAGACCCATTTAAAGACCTAGCTGAAAAGCTGTTTAATGTCTAATTCAGATGGAATAACTAGGCTGCAGAGAGACCAAGTACCAGTTTTCAGACTCGCAAGTTAACAGATGGGTTCCTGAGCATGCACAATTCTGAAAACTAGTGGGCCACATTCCAAAGAGTCAGCTGTCATAAGAACGGCCAGACTGGGTCAGACCAAAGGTCCATCTAGCCCAGTATCCTGTCTTCTGACAGTGGCCAATGCCAGGTGCCCCAGAGAGAGTGAACCTAACAGGTAATGATCAAGTGATTTCTCTCCTGCCATCCATCTCCACCCTCTGACAAACAGAGGTTAGGGACACTATTCCTTACTCATCCTGGCTAATAGCCATTAACGGACTTAACCTCCATGAATTTATCTAGTTCTCTTTTAAACCTTGTTATTATAGCCCTAGCCTTCACAACCTCCTCAGGCTAGGAGTTCCACAAGTTGACTGTGCGCTGTGTGAAGAACTTCCTCTTATTTGTTTTAAGCCTGCTGCCCATTAATATCATTTGGTGGCCCCTAGTCCTTATATTATGGGAACAAATAAATAACTTTTCCTTATTCACTTTCTCCACACCACTCATGATTTTATATACCACTATCATATCCCCCTTAGTCTCCTCTTTTCCAAGCTGAAAAGTCCAACCCTCTTTAATCTCTCCTCATATGGGACCCGTTCCAACCCCCTAATCATTTTAGTTGCCCTTCTCTGAACCTTTTCCAATGCCAGTATATCTTGTTTGAGATGAGGAGACCACATCTGTACACAGTATTCAAGATGTGGGCATACCACGGATTTATATAAGGACAATAAGATATTCTCCATCTTATTTTCTATCCCGTTTTTAATGATTCTTAACATCTTGTTTGCTTTTTTGACTGACGCTGCACACTGCATGGTCGTCTTCAGAGAACTATCCACGGTGACTCCAAGATCTGTCACTCTGGGTGGTGAGCTCTGCCTAGCTGTAATCAGGGTGTGTGCTCAAACTTCCCCCAGGGACCAAGCACAGCTTGCTCCCTCTTACCTTATTGGATGTTGCTATAAGTTTTTGCTCTTCCTTAGAAGAAGTGATGACTGGTACTTTGCAGAATGGCTCGTACGCATCTTTGTTCTGCTGAAACAAAACAGCCCATCAAATGCAGCAGGTGAATGGAAATCTACAGTAGGGCCTTTGAACAAAATGCAGGGGACCATCAAGCCTTCTCTCATATTGACGCCTGGGGTTAGCTACAGCGATGCAGATGGAGTGGTGACTCACCATTGTCTGAACCAAGAGGACTCGATAGAGCAGTGAGCTGACCCCATGAGACAGCTATGTTCCTGTGTGTAGGCATGCTAGGGTACAGGGGCATTACATACTTCCCCATCTTACTCCCCAGTGAGGGAAGAGGTACAAGAACAGCTGCTGAGGTGCTTTGGGGAGCCTGGGCTCCATCCCCAAGACTGCATTAATGCACCATAGACCTGTGCCTAAGGCCCTGCCTTCGGGAGTTATGTGACTCTAGATGCCCAACTTTTTCATTTAAACTCATTTATGGAAAAATGTGATCTGAGCATAACTGATGTAATGATGCCTGCCTGAGTCTGCAGAGAGCCTGAAACAAACAATGGCTCAGAGGAGTTAACTGTCCCATGCATCTCAACAGGTTGTTAACTCCAAGACCCACTGCTTTGACAGGCCTACTCCACCCCTGCCGAAGACTTTGGGCAGGAAGAGATAAGTGCAGAAGAACACTTGCAATGGCTGCTGGGGTCCCCCCAGCTGCTGCTGCTCCTGAGGGAGAAAAGCACCTTATGCCTTTGACTACACCTCTCGGCCATCAGCACTCCACAAGGGTGTTAGGGTCACAGAACAGGCCTGTAGAATCTTATACTGGTGATGTGCAAGCCGGAAAGAGCCCAGCTTGACAGTGGGATCCCAAGGGTAGTTGTGGTGCTGGCAGTTTTAACAATCTTTAGTTGTAAGCTAAGCAGATCTGATCTCTGACACGTACATACACCTGGAACCCCATGATGCCATGTTTAAAGTTCATTAGACACAGAGAAAAGAACTACTTGTCCAGAAAAATACTTGATCTTTCCTAACCCCTTACAGCCTTAACTATCCACATCAAGCAAAGGGGCAGGGACCCATTTCTCACTGCTTCCTGCGGACAGGGCAGGAAGTGGGATTAATCAGAGGAAATACTCGGGGGGCGTAAGAAAAGGCTGGCTGATGGAACAAGCTCAAGCCACTGGCACTGGCTGGTGACCAAGCGTGTCACTAGCTCCATGCTAAAAACTGCACACCTACCTGTAGAGCTGCCTGGCACTCATCCACCAGACCCTGAACCAGGTAATACTTTGCCTCAGCCAGCAGCTCTTCAATCTCTCTCCGGCTCTCAGGAAGAGGCACGGCCCCATCACGCAGGTAATTTAATATGGTCCCGAAGTGTTTGCCACAGCGGTCGATCAGAATCCAGCCTGGGAGGGAGAAAGCAGGGTACAGCTGAACAGCGGGAAGGGAAAGACTTAGGCAGAGAGTCCACCACCCTCCCTCTTCCCAACCCCAGCTGGCCAGAACGTGGTGGAACACGCTGCAGCTCCGCGCAGAGGAGCCTCTCCCCAGAACATTGCCTCACGCTGGTGCACTGAGCACATCCTGCCGAGAGGCTCCAAAATCCCCCATCTCGCTGCTTGAGTTGGCAGCTGGAACAGCAGCAGGCTGTACTTCTACAGGGAATTCTCTGTGTGTCTGTATCTCCCCCAACATTTCTTCAAGGGCGTGTGGTGGGAGGCGGAGGGAGGAAGCTCACTGCATCTTTCAACTCCCAAGCCACTGACCATCAGTTAGCTGAAGTGGTAGCAAAACAAAATTCCCACCATCAAATTAAACTTCTGTTTTCTCTCCCCCTCCCCCGTTTCCTGGAATCCTGTCTGCTCTTTTGGACTTGCTAGCATACTTCAACCCTTGACTGCCCCCGCCGCCCCTCAAACACACACACAACCACTGGGGCAGATTTTCTAGAACCGCAGCTAAGAGACAGACAAATAGGGCAAATCCGAGGATTCCCACTGCACTAAGCCACTGGCAGCTGGCCCAGGTCAGCGGAGTCGGGCCGGTGGGGCTCAGAGTGTGAGGCTCTAACATTGCAGTGGAGATGTTTGGGTTTCGGCTGGGGCCCAGGCTCTGAGATCCTGCAGGGAGGGTCCCTTAGCCCAAACATCTACACAAGCAGTTTTATAGCCCCACAGTCCCGGCCTAAGTCAGCTGACCCAGGCCAGCCCTGAGCGTTTTACTGCAACGTAGACGTACCCGGAGGGACCTACAACCAGTCAAGCGCAGAGCCAGGGACCGAACCCAGGAGTCCTACCTGTTACAGCTGGCTCTCACATGCCTGAGAGCCCTTACTGTGCACAAACAAGAGACTGGTGAACCTAAGCAAAATCCCCATCCAGCCGGTATTTGGTGTTTGTTCTGGGACAGACCACTCCTCCCCGGCATGCAGGAAAGACTGTTGTTTTAAAGAACATTTATTTTCTCCCATCCCCTGCAGGGCCCTGATGAAATGCTTCCCCCCCCTGCATCCCGCACACTGGTATGAACGGGGGCCTTGGGAGTGCCTGCTGCTCCAAATGCTTTATTTTTTTAAAAACAATGGCACATTTGTGTTGAAAATAACCCTGCCGTCCCCAAGCAGCATTCATGCAAGAAGGGTGAGAAGGAAGTGAAGAGGTGAGTAAGACATGGATACTATGGAGTTCCGCAGAATCTTTGCAAGTCCCATTTCATCTTCCTTATTCCCAACCGGCATGGAACGGGAACAGCAAATTGATTAGCAGATGGATGTTTTTAAAGTGCTTTGAAGATGTAACGCGAGTATGTGAGCAGTACAAGTGACATGCGAGATCGTCCTATACACTGTAGCATTTCCTTTACGAAACCACCTGCTAAAAGGCACATTACTCACCAGTACTGGGTAGGGATACCAGAGAGAAAGGGAAACAAAGCTTCAGCAGAGCTTAGAATAGAATATACGGCACCCTTAATCTGAATAAATTCATATTTCATCTCCACGCACCAGCAGTCCATCTCCTGAAGCAGACCAAAAGGCCCAGAAAGGCATTATGCAATGTCCAGCTCAAGTTTCCATAAACAGGCGGCCATTTTTATGGGCTTTGACTCAAGAATGTACTCAGGAAACGCTTGTGGGGAAGGACTCATATTTTAGACAAATAAGGGAAAAGTAGGGTAAAGCATGTACCACATGGCTTGAATTAATGAAATTACTACTAAAACTCTGATTACTTGGTTAATTCTCCAGCCCCTGAGTTGAATGTAGGCCTTTCCTACTGATGGCCTAATTAGCAAGAGATTCACTAGCATTCTACTCTGCACTTTTCTCTGTTTTCCCCCTTACACTGGGGTGCTGTGTGGTTACGACTGCAGCTTCAGAGGGAGTGGAGGAATGTACTAGGAAGCTAGGCCTGATTTACAGATGCTTGTTGCAAATTGACAAAGGAATCAGACTACCCATTGTTCCAAATTACTGGGCATAGCACAACATATATAGGGGCCACAGCAGAAATGAGGACCACTGGCCACTTCAGAAGTTCCCAAGACAATGCCACTCCACTGTAAGGGGGAGAGGGCACAGAAAACACCATCCTCCCAAAACCCGAGAGCTATCACAGACCAAATGGAGCCAGTGATTGATTTATTGGAGTTGCGTAGGGGGGATGGTATAGGGAAAACAGAGTCAATAACTCCTCAGTTCTAATCCCAGCTGTGACTCCCTCTCTGGACTTGGAAAAGTTAACTTCTGCTTTGGTTTCCCTATCCATAAACCTGCAAGAATGTTAACTTCCTAATGTCCCAGGCAGCTGTAGCAAGGATGAGAAAATGTTTTAAAGTGCAAAATGGTGCTGGGTTGCTAAACACCACATTTAACAACTCCATCACTGTGCCTTCATAGGTGCTTTTGTTCTTACTAGTCAGCCGAAATGTACTGCAAAAAGGAGAGCTTTAACAGGAAAGTGAACCCCACTGCCTGGCTGCTAAAGAGCTAAGAAAGCAGGTTTCATCTGTAGTTTGCAGTCTTATAAAGCTGTATTTTAATAATCATGGTTTTACAAAATGTTTTGGGATCCACTAATCAGGCAGGAATAAATATCCCCAGGAGCCATAAATAGACACAATGGGAAACATGGGAGTTTAACTTTTGTTACACAAAGAACTGAAGTGAGGGCTCCCCAACACTGATACTAAAGCAAGCAGTGCCTTCTAGCCAAGTCTTAACAAATAACATCCTATCTTGGCATTAGATTACTTGGGGGTCTTCATGAGGCTCTTGTTTAAAGCAGACTAATGAAATCTGGTCTCTCTTTAAAATCTAAAAATGCATATTTTAGAACAGCTGGGGAGACTAGGAATTCATGTTGCACAGAGAATTCCGGCGGCCTTTGTGGGAGACTAGTGTCTTTCCCCAACCTCTATCCTGCTACTCCAGTAAGATGTAGATTTTGAAATGTACGGGTTGCTTTAGCTTCCAGATTAAATCTGTAAACTGAAAAGAATCTACATGCATAGCCAGATAACTAGCCATTTCTCCTCCAGGATGAGAAGATGTATATTATTTCTATTGTAAATTGGGGGAGGGGGTGTCATACTATGGCGACAGGAGCCATATGATCACTTATTTAGATAGAACAGGATTCTCAGTGTGAAATGCTCCACAAGTTTAAAAACTTTACTCTGTAATTTTCTCAAAGAATCTAGTTGCTTTTCCTGAAAAACACTTCCTATTTTGTGCCAGATTTTGGGTGTGACTGAAGAACACAGTATTTGAAGGCTTTCAGATAAGGGTAGTTTCCTTTAAATACCATGATGCTATTGTCCCAGTTTCCATTAACACTTCCAAGTAAAACCAGGCAGTGGAAGATAAAACAATAGCTACTGCAGCAGGAGGATCTCATTTCAATGTGCAAGAAGTGCTAAAATCCCCCTGAAACACCAGCACAAACCAGCAAATGAGGCATTCCTACACCATGAACTGTGACAGTCACAGCAAAGCAAACATGGTGTTCTAACAGGGTCAGATCCAGATGGCCTTTACCCTTAGCAGTAGGTACCTTCAACTTTCCCCTCCGCACAGAGAATCTGTCCACACATAGAAAAGTGGATTTCCTATTTTAAGGACACATTGTAATAGCACTTGTACTGTATCCATCCAGAGCATTCTGGGTGAAGCTCTGAGACCGTGCATTAGGCAGCATTTGTTTAGTAGTGAGTGGACAGTGCAAGGGCATAGTTTTAATCACAGTTCTAACTCACTTGCTCTGTGGCCTTGGATAAATAACTCACCTATGTTACAGATGAGGAAACACAGAGAAGTTAAGGGGCTCTCCCTACTCCTAGGGATAGTGGGAGGAATAATGATTGTCTAACACTATAAGCATTCTTTTGATTCAGTGCCACGGCTGAAATTGTGAAACCGCTGCAAAAGAACTAGGGTGATGAATTACGTTCAGTGGGTTGCATTCTAGTGCCTTCATTAAACGGGAAGTAAATGATGATTGAGTAGCTGGCTCGTTTCCCTCTCGATCAGCACTAAACCAATGTTCCACTGGCATTATGGGCTGTGCCGCTGGATGTACAGCGTGTTAGATGAAATGTCATAGAACAGCCCTATGGTTAGTAATGATCCCATGAGACATTTTTCAAACGTAATCATGGCCACGTTGGATAATTATATTCTTGCTTACCTACCTACAATTCCCCCTGCATTTTCCATGCAAGAGGGACTCTGCTTCCTACCCTAAACTGTTAGGTAGCGTAGTTGTGCACTGTTAAATAGCTGTAATGTCCGACTGCAGAGATCCCTGACTTTTTTGTGGTGAGGAGACTAATCCCTTAAGAGTTTAGAATTCTGTATAGTACTTGGATACTTGCAAACGCCACTACAAAAACTGAAACAAACTCGAATATTTCCCCAATTGTTTAGAGAGGGGACTCTAGCTAAAATGGTAATACTTAAATATTGAATTGTGCTGTATTTCTCACAGGTTGGCTGCGAATCCACTTCCTGCTCTCACAAGAAAGCTGTCAGGAGAGCCTTATTTAAACCATAACTTATTTCTCCCCAGCTCTAGACACATACTAGACGTACTATGGCACTGAAAACCAAGTTCAGTTGCTCCAGTTGAGGAGCAATACGTAATCCATCCTCCAGACAAGTTCAAACATTCAATACACCAACAAGCTAATCAACAGAAAAGAGTTTTCAACCTCTAAGATCAGTCTACTAATGAACTATTGTAAAAGACAATGTGTATATAAATCTGCAAACATGGGAGCGGTCAGATAATGGGCAAAATGCCAAAACACAAATAGAAAGCCGTGCCTGGAATTAAAGTCAGTGGTACTCCCACACTGCGGGAAAGTTGACATTAAACTGGGCTAAAAGTTTTGAACAGCCCTCAGATGATGAAACTTCTTTTGCATCTTAACACAATTAGTACATGTAAAAATTCTCCCATCACATTCTGAATTATTCCTTTGCAGATGGACTTGACTAAAGAGATCCATTTGTAGTTTTTTGCTTGTCTCATATATGCCCTAGTAAATTACTAACACCACAATTATTCAGATGCAAGAAATTCATAATTAGGTGTCAGTAACCTCAGTACAGGTGGCTTCTTTACATTTCATAACTGGTTTGTTTTCTAGAATTCAACGATCTGTAACCTCACATGAAAAATGAAGTTACAGCCCCTTTTATCCAAGGATCCCCAAAGCACTTAATACACTAAGGCTCACAACCCTCAGAAGATAAGTTTTAGCTCTATATTACAGACAGAGAAATCAAACAGTCAATTAACCTTTCAGCCTCAAGGTCAAAAAGCAGGTTCTAACTCCTAAGCCTGGCCTGACTCACGTCACCCAATCCCTCTAACAAGTACTTTTCATCTCAGTGTTTCAGAAGGAAGCAAAAGTTTATTCAACTAGGTCTGATCAGAGCCTTTGACTTTACTGTAATCTAAACGAGAGGAGGGTCAAGGCTTCAGAGAAATAAGATTCAAATCTTTCCGGTTTCATGGCTTTTCTCAGCTGTATAGTTTGCTAGCCATAGTAACAAAACAACAACAAACGCCTTAGAGAAGCCTGGGGCTAGAATAAGCTTGTTCACTACAATTGTCCGTTTTCTAATGTGCTGATCAATCTTGACTGAAGGGTTAGAGACTCATGGCAGGGAAAAATAAGTGATGTGAACAGTGTCTCTTTACCTTCACTGTCGGTGAGAACCTCCATGCGGCCGCTGAACATGGCCTTAAGCATGGTGTCCTGCTTGGTCAGGGTCTGCATTGTGGTGTAGTAGAGGGCGCCACCAATATTCAGTTTGACATATTTGGAGCTCGGGCTGGTCCCTTTGAAGGAGGTGGTGCGAGTCGCAGCTGCCGGCACTGCTGAGCTCACCACGCTGTCTCCTGACATCTCTTCCTGAAAACAAAGGAGGTTGCCAATTAGGCCTGCTTTTGCACTGCGTACCACACAATTTACTGCTGCTCCCTCGTAACATTTTATGTAGGGAATACTAATCCCCTGCTGTTCTATAGCCCCAGCTGGGAAACTCACAGTGCCTCCCGATATCCTGTCAGGCTTATCTCCATTTTGCAGCTGGAGGAACCTAGGTGAAATGTTTTGTCCAAACTCACAACATGAGAGGGGCAGAGCTGGAAATAAAGCCAGGAGTTCTGGCTCCCACTCCCCTGCCCTACACCTTCCCATTGAATGAAAACTGCTTCTCCTAGGCCTGTCTCTGTAATAAAATATGGAAAACTCTAGGGAACGGTTTCAGGCCTTTTTACTAGAGACCTGCCCTGTAAGTAGTTTAATGCCATGTTGACCGGTTTCCTGCAGCTATGGCAAACAGAGCAAAGTTAAGCTAAACTGAAATCCAGAGCATTGCCTATTAGCATTCACGCTGACTGCTTAATGGTTTTTGTTTTAAACGTAGCAGGTTACTTCCCCTTTCTGAACTAACTTCAAGTTTACAACGGCTTTGTACCCAATGGAAGCATTTAAAGCCAACATTTTTTCCACACTAAACAGCTACTCTCAATTCACAGCACCACAGACAAAATCTTGTGCACAGAAGATTCTGGACTTTCATGCTATTTCACTATAGACAATTTCAGCTGATCTGAATTCACTATACATGGGTTCCACTGTTTAACTTTCCATAGTGGGTGTTATTTCAGTCTCAGCTCCTCTTTGCTACCTTTAAATAATTTACTTAAAGTCACAAAGAAACCCTGCATACAATCTCCTGAGGGTTAGACAAGCCAACTAAAGAATGTAAATAAACTAAACCAGTGCAGAGTTTTGTGAACTTTGGGCAGCATTTTACAACTGTAAGTTATCTACTGTGGCTAAACTGAGTAGAAGGATGAAAAAGTGCATACATCTCTCCACCTCAAAACTCACACGATTTAAATTCTTCTGGGAAGTGGCTTAGTTCTGGCATCATCTGGCATTTGAGTACATTCACAGCCGTATAGGGAGTCAGACTGGATGATCCATGAAACTATTACAAATCTCACTGGCTGTGATTTCAGTAAGCAAAAACTCTTCAGCAAGTGAATTTAGTGCTCCTGAAATTGAGGGTGTGTGTGCATTTCTGACTGTAGACTTCCCATCTCCATACACTCACAGTGCTTTCAATGCATTTAGGACAGAGTGTAATCTCCTACTATTCTTGCCTTGAGATTTTCCACACACTGTTCCATTGAACTACCTCCCTCCTAACCTGTAGCATCCAGGCTGTATCATGAACCCTCCTGAGCAGAGGCAATATTGTGAGATCGTTTTAAAATGTGGACATGTGAAAACTAAGATAAAAAGCTTCCCCACCAATTCATTCCCCACCGGTCATCTAATAAGAATCAGACTGTGAGCTCTAGAGCAGAAGGACTCACACGCTAAACGACAGCTGCTCCAGGCAACTGAACACAGTTGCGTTTTTGTATATCAAAAGACTGAAAGGGAGATAAGTTAGCCACGTAATAGATATCTTGCTCTCTGACTCACTCATGACCAGGCCTCTGTCAAATCACCACTTTGTGGTTAGCCTCAGGCTCCTACAATGCACCAGGATGGGATGACTAAAGGACAGCCACCTCAGACCCATCGAGGTCCTACAGCCTTTGGGGCAAACAGTCTTCTGCATATAGGGCTAGAAGCCACCTCTTAAATCAGCCATGTTCCGCTGCCGTTCAGAGACCTTCAATGCAGCTGGCAATGCAGGTACATGAGCTGGCTGCATTTGGTAGGCAGAGCCTGGACAGAGGCTATCAGGCAGCTCAGAAGGGCACTAGGAGACCCCTGTTCAGAGCAAGGTGTCTCCTTGCTACTGTTAGCAGAGAAGAGAGGCAGGGCCGGCAGAGACCCCCCCGCTAGAGTGACAGTAACAATAGACCCAGCCCCTGTACTGCACTGCCCCCGTCCGCTCCGGCCTGCAGGGGGCAGGAGCAGCACCCCACCCTGCGGGGCTGAGATAGCGACTGGCCCTAGACTACCCAGCAGCACCAGCCCTCGCCTATTCCCCGCCCAGGCCCTGACCTCCCCCTCGCCCCCGGGCCTCGCCCATTGTCCTCGCCCGCCCCCCTCCTCAGCCCGTGCCTCGACCTCCCTCCTCAGCCCGACCCCCCCAGCCCAACCCCCGACCTCCCCTCGGGCCTCGCCCCCCTCAGCCCGACCTTCCCCCCCAGCCCAGCCCCCGGGCCTCCCCCCCTCCCTCCGCAGCCCGGGCCCCCGACCCCAGCCCAGCCCCCGGGCCTCGGCCCTTGTCCTCACCCCCCCCCTCAGCCCGACCCCCCCCTAGCCCCGCCCACAGCCCAGCGCAAGTCGCAGCCCGCCCGGGAGCCCCCTCCCGCCCCAGGCGCTGGGCTGACCGATGTCCGAGCCCTACGCGGAGCCCCCTCCCGTCCCGTCCGGCCACGGCCCCGGCGCTCACCATGAAAAGCCCAAGCGAGTCCCCAGGCAGTTCCGCGGAGAAACCGGAAGCACCCGGGGCGGGGCGGGACAGGGGAACTTCCGCCCCTCGCTCACGGCCTATTTTCCGTCCCAGGACCACCTCACTTCCGCCCCGCAGAGCGCGCCACCCAAACCCGTCCGATGTCCCCTCGGCCCTCGCAAAGCGCGGGCCCCGCGGGCTCGCCCGTTCCCCTCGGCCCTCCCGCTGGGGCACGGGAGGCGGCGTGCCCGTGTGCAAATGGCTGGCGGGGTCCCGGCGCCCCCGGGGGCGGTTAGCGGGGCCCCCGGCTGAGCCGGGCCTGCGTTCCCGGGCGGGGGGCTAAGCGCGGCGCACAGGCGGCGCTCGGCTGCTGCCCCGGCCTGGGACTCGGCGGGGGTGGTGCTGCCCCCCCC